GATATTTTTTGCTCAGCAAATGATAGTGAACAAAATAAAAATGTTTCTATCTACGATAAAGACTTAGTGGTTGTATATGAGTAGATTGCAACTTTTTGGTACGGTTACCGCGAAAAACTAAAAGTAGACCTAAACAATGTCCGATTAATATTTTTTTATTATATTCTATGCCTTTTTTTGCGGACTAAAAGTTTCGCAACACTCCACCGCATATTAGCAGAGACACGTCTTACTCCAGTGTAAGTATAAAGTAAAGAACATTATTTCAGTGGCAAAATCAGTTGTAGTTCACCGAAATTTTAGATGTGAAACTGCTTTCTAAATCACGATCAATGTTTGCATACAGGTCGAATAACTTTTCAAAATGAAACGAGGGCAATGATGTATGATGCAATCTATGTCGACTCACTATTGCTTGAAGTATCATATGAAAAATGTCATTCTAAAAATCACAGTAGTCTGCGTAACCTCTATGTCGTACAATTATGTTGTAATTCAGAATCAATGCTTGGCATAAGAATAGGAAAACATTCTACCGCAAAATACATCGAATTTTGTGAAATGTCACTCATATTGACCCACTTTTAATTGAAAATTTGCATGTAAAAGGTCGTTCTAGACTTTTAAGAGAAAGGATCAATCTACATTTTATCATTTAGTGTGAGTTTCTCGAGAAGAATGAGAGATAGACGGTTAAAGTTTTAACTGCTTATGTAACTCTAAGAACTATACCTACGATAACAACTTGAACAAAAACATATGAGTTGTTCGAAGATTATTAGCATCTAAATTTTGACGAAGTCGTTCTACAAAGTGAGTCAAACTCGAATTTTCAGGAAACAATTGATTCTTTTACCGAAAAGAAAAGTCATTTAGAAAAGTTTTTTTTATCATTTTGTTTGCATTTCAATGGTCTTTCTTTTGCGTACCTTTGCTTTCCTTCCACTTTTACACACACCAAACAAATTTAAAAATAAGGTTGTCCCACACGAAAATGAAAAATTGCCTATAATTAAGTATTTGGAGCAAATAAGTGTAAAAAGACGAAGAGAGAAATAAAAAAAGATATATAATTTAATAGAGCATTTCAGGTTGTACAAAATGGACTATTCATTATATCGTTTCTCTTTTTTTTTATACCTAGAAATTATTCTTGTCTTAGCACATCTATCATGATCGATGGCCATGATACTTGTTCCAGATGAGCTTCTAAACATCCTTCGTTGCATTCTTTGCTTCTTTTTTTCTTTTTCTTGTTCTTTTCTCCCTCCCCTGTTTCGCCTCTCTTCACACGAATCACTCTCTGAGTAGGAGAGCATGATTGGCATGTGAAACGTAAGAGAAGGATACGTTGGAAGAGGAGGACATACGTAGTTTGTTTTTTTTCTTTGTGGACGTGATTCTTGTGGGTTTTTTTGCCCAAATATATACAGGTGATGATTTGTCTTGAAGAAGAAGAGTGTATGTCATTAACAACATCCCAAAGTAAAATACAATTTTTTCACAGTACAAGACTTATAAGTCCTCGATGATGTAAGCTAGAGAGTTCGAATTCGGTTTCGGTATGAGACACACCAACAGTAGTAACATATAAAAAAGTGTCTAAATTGGTCAACGAGAAAATAAGTTATTATGTAAACAGCTAAAATCTCAATTGTACCAAAGGATTACAATTGATTCAGATATACAAATATCAGACACAAAGCGGAAAAAGAAAAATTGATTAAGAAAGAATTCATAGTTAAACGGACTGACATTGCTTCTGTCTGGTCTGTCTGTCTTCTTTTCATTTTGTACGAATAATTATACAACAGACAATGAGTTGTAACTATTGTTCGACAAAGCTAAGCGTTTAACACTGATCAGGAATGGCAGCAATATGTAGAAATATTATGACGTACCTTATTATTATGAAATGCAATGTCTAAAGCATTTAGTCAATCATCTCCAGTATATTCAAATGCTAGTATGACTAATCGTCCAACATCGCATCCAACAAATGCATCATCAATGCCAACACCAATGGGAACGGGAATGAATAATCAAGGAAATCCATCATATTCATGTCCATATGGATATCTACAAACACAAATTCCTCAAGATATTTATCGAGATTCTATTCAAACAGCTGTTTTAGATAGAGTTCGAAATCGTTTAGATGAAATAACACAAATATAAAAAGTACAAAATGATTCGTTTAAAAAAACTGAACAAGATTTAATTGATGGTGAAAAAACAATTCGAAGACTTATTAATGATGCACAACAACAACAAATTCAAGCATGATTTTAGATTTATTTTTCTTTTTTAGAACTACATAATAAATTTACAAGCAAAAACCAATGAAATATTAGGAGCTCCACAAAAAATGTCCTTATCATCAGGAAAAGTAAATTCCATTAAAGAAGATGCTTTTATAATTCCTGTACCTGTTTATAAACAGTGAAGCATTTTTCTTTCTTCATTTTATTTATTCTCCAACAATATTTTCATATCTTTCTTCTTTTTCTTGCTTTAGCATATTAGAGACCGTTCTCGAAAAGAATTTATTCTAAGAGCTACAATATGCAAATGTCAACAAGTTTCTGGTTTACCTTTGAAGTAAATGGTTTTTTTCTTGTGAAATCAAAAAAATTGATTTTATTTTTGATTATGTACGTATGTCAATGTTGAGAGAGAGAAAATGGATTGTTCACCACAAGAAATAATTATTTACATATAGTTTGACGTAAACAAAGACAAAAATATCCTTTATTATTGTTTCACCAATGCGAAAAACAGGTTGATTGATGCTTCTCTCTCTATTGGAAAGCAAGAAGAATGAAAAAAACGTAGGTTTTTTTTCGAACACTGTGGGTGTGTGAAGTGATGCGTGCAATATATATATATTAACTGATTTGTACCGACATCAGCGTAAGTAATGGCAGCCACCAATAGAAATATGCAAATTGAAACCTTGGCTTGGATAACTGATGATGGAGCTGAATTTTGGACGGTGAATATTGAATAAAACATTTCTTTTTTTGTTTATCATTGATGATCTTATTTAGAGTACATCACCTATAGAAAAAAATAATGTGTCTCATCATTTTTCAACATCAAAAGATTTGTCTTCAAATATTTTTACATTTGATGGTCTTTACTTTAAAACAAATAATCCATCACATACAGAAATGCAAGATCATCTATCATTGTTATCTAAACAAGCAATTCAAAAACAAGTCAGAGAAGAGCAAGATAAAGTCGAGAAAAAACAGTTATTTAACATATTTCAACTAAATAAAAATATTCATTCCAATGAAAAAAATTCTGAAAAAACAATAGGCTTTCTTGGTCGATTATTTCATCAATTAACAAGATCATCATCTTCAGAATTCGATTATTTAGATGATGACGTCTTTATCGATTCCGATGAAAGCAACATAACAACTGTTGTCAATAATAATACAGATATTGATGCATCATCCAATGTTGAAAATAAAATTCCAGATAATATTCCATTTATGAATACTATTCGATCATTTATTGATGAATTAAATGAAGAAAAAGATGTTATTATGGGAATAATTGATGAAGAAACATTAGTTAATCGAAGAAGTCAAAAAGCAAAATCTTCAATTTTATCAATAAAAAACCAATAAAAGACTTATTTGTGAAACATTTGGTTTTTGATGTTCATTTTAGAAAAAACTTTGTTGTACATTATTAAATTTTCAAAAGATGCTGAATTTTTTTATTTTTTGAGTGGGTGTGGATGTGGGCGAGTATATGGCAACTTTACACCAACACCCCATCCACATCCTCAAAATAGAACATTACTTGTTTGTACGTATCACTTCGATATCTATTCAGTCTAACCTCACTATTTCGAAAGTGTTTACAAATTATTAAAAAAAAATCAAGTGCAAATGAAGCGTTTTATGGAACTCATTTGTGTAGATCACATATAAAAACACTAATTGTAAATTACAAGTGAGGTGTTGCGGTTGTTCTCTTCGTCTTCTCGTCACGAATCGAAAGAGAAAGCAGGTATGAAATTTCTTTCTGATCGTTCAATGTAAATAGTCTTCGAGTTATGTTTGTACCAGTCTCAGTTTCTAACTGATCGACTAATACTCATAAATTGATTCTGATGTATACTTATTCAGAATAATGATGGAAATTCTTGTTAAAAATTATTCGAAATCTACTTTAGAAAAGTGATATCATAGAGAAAAAAAAATATGATTAAAACAATAATTTCGAAGGCCATTATGACATGTAAGAATACTTGTAATTCCTGTTAGATTCTTACAGATAGAAAATATTCCATCATTTAATTTTTTATACAAAAAAAAAACTACTCATGTTCGATTTATCTTCTGATTTTCTCGAGAAAAGTTTTCAGAATCTAGTTCAATTTAAATTATTACACTTCAGTTTTGATTTATTGAAGTCTATTTGCATACATCAAATATAGATGTTATTCATGTTGATTCTGTCTCTAATGCAAAACGAGAGAAACGAAAAAAAAAAGACGTTATATTTATTTTTAAACAGTGAGAGTGTGTGAAGTGACGCGTACAAAATATATAATAGGCGATTTTTTCTTATCGACATCAGCAAAAAAACAATGTCACTCACCACGAGAAATACGAAAATTGAAACCTTGGCTTGGATAACTGATGATGAAGCTGAATTTTGGACGGTGAATATTCAATAAAACATTTCTTTTTTGTTTATCATTGATAAGATTATTTAGAGTACAACACCTATAGAAACAAAGAAAACATTTCATTATTTTTCAACATCAAAAAAAAATTCTTCTTCAGATGATCTTCATTATAAAACAAATAAACAATTAAATTCTCAAATTGAAGATCCTTTGTCATTATCATATAAACAACTAATTGAAAAACAAGCAAAAGAAGTATCAGAAAATGCTGAAAAAACAAAAATTTTCGAAAAATTTCAATTAGAAGAAAATGGTCCTGAAATAAATATGGGCTTTCTTGATCGATTATTTCATTCATCAAGTAAACCACCAATTTCAGAAAAAGATTATTTAGATGATGAAGTTTTTACAGAAATTGATGAAAGTGAAATAATGGCTGTAATCAATAATAATGCAGATATTGATGTATCATCCAATGTTGAAAATAAATCTACGGATAATATTCCATTTATAAATGATCTTAAATCATTTATTGATGAATTAGGTGAAGAAAAAGATGTTATTATGGGAACAATTGATGAAGAAACATTATTTAATCGAAGAAGTCGAAAAACGAAATCTTTAGCTGCACCACCAATCAAAAACGATGATATATCATTTAGTCGAACATCTTATTAACATTTCTTTAATAAAAAAAAAAAAAAAACAAAAGATTATTTCACATTATTAAATTTTCAAAAGTTACTCAATCTTGTTATTTTCATACTTATATGATTTTCGATTTATTTTTTTATTTTTGTTGATAATTTGTTTCTTTTGCACAGAAATTGATGTATCTCTCTAACCAATTTAATTTGTTGAGTAGAGTTTCACTCGTTTAACATTATTGAAAATTCATTTGTAAGATCGAAAAACTATTTTCGAATCGACTGACAAAAAAATTCTATGATTTTGAATTGAATCATGAAATATGGTCTTATGATTTGTAAAGAATAAATTGATTTCAGCAAACAAATGTCAAGTTGTAATACTTCAAGCAATTCTCTTCAATTAACTCATATATTCATATGAAAATAATTGAGGAAAAAATTTTACTCTAATGATAAATTGGACGATAAGCTAACCGTTATTATCAGCTATGGTATCTATTGAGTTACTTCATATCGTCAGAATGTATCTCAATTTACTAGAGTCCGACGCAGGTCAAGTAGGATTACGAAAAAAAGTCTAAATCTCAGATCATATTTACAGTCTACACATTTTAATGACACAGAAGCTATTTTGGATGTTTTAACTTCACCGACTTTTCTTTATTGGGTTCAGACAATGATTTATAGCAAGTACACTATCGATAAGATAAGATAAGATAAGATATTAAGAGCGACGCATACTAAAAAATGAAAACAACTGATATATTTATCAATAAGAGTGACACAGTTATTTCATATGCAATCTAACAGGTGAATACTAATTATAGTAATGAATGGAGAAAAAGTTCGATTAGTTCTGAAGAGTTTAAATATGTAGAATTTATATGGACTGATAGATTATCCTTGAAATAGACAGTCGAATAGCTCGAGATCCAGAAGGAATCTGAGATGATTAAAAATCCGGAAGATATATATCTTCTAAGACACTTTGTCATTCCTGTTATTTTGTCTTGTGCAGAAATTCATCAACAGATAACACATCAAAAATTCCTTGTAGATATTCGGCTGATACATTGCTGTCCTTTTGTCTCTGCGCACTATCCTTATATAATTACTTGTGAACATCTCTTAGAATTTTATATTAAAAGCTATTTTAAAAGAAGATTCAGAACTATGCACACATGACAGAACTTGAATCGCATCTTCGTTGAAGATGATTTATATAGAAGAAATAACGAATCATGTTAGTGATTTTTTTAATGGACGTCGTATACGATAATTAATTAGGTCGACAAGAATCATTGCTTTTAAAATGATTTTTTTTAATGAAAACGAATCAATACAAAAAAAAAGAAGACAAATATAATGTACTGTTTTCTTCTATTCCTTTCTTCTGTCTTCTATTTTTTCACTCTCTTCTTATTTTTCTTGTTATATTTTTAGTTGCTGTGTTTAGCTCTTCGAACTTAATCATTCTAAAGGTAGAGTTGCCTAATTACACGTGTATCTGTTAGAGTGATATTAAAAAATAAAAACAAAACAAAAAGAAAGAAAGACAAAGAAGGAAAAAAACACGATTTATCAACTAGAAAGCCAAACAAGAGTAAACAAAACACAAAGGATGGCTTATTATAATAAAATATAATTGACAAAGAGACGATTTCAAGAGAAATTTTGTCGTTATCCAGTAGCTTAAATATTTATTCAAATTTATCGATTCGATTGAGTGATTCCAAATTTGAGATTGGACATCGAGCTCGAGTAGCTCATTGCTCGCGTAGACTATGTCACTTCAGTTTTTAAATAATTTATTGGTTAAACAGTTAGAATTGACTAATATTTAAAGTACTCGAAGAACGAATTTTGACCGACAATGACAGCTGCTCGATCATTGAAAAAGAAAAAAAAGCAGGTCTATCGAAAGAACGTTCTCCATATCAGCATGATACATTATAAAAAGGATTGGAGTACAGCTAAATCCTTGTGGTCTACCTCGGCAAATTAGAAACGAATGGAATTCTTTGTTCTGAATGTCTATTATACTCCGTCTGCCATTCAGCCAGGTACGAACCCATTCAAATTAATTTTTCTTAATATCTCTCGAATTATAATTGATCAAATATACTCTTAAAATCAACAAAAACAGTATCAATTGGTGAGCTATTTGACGTAATGTAGGCGTTCGTAAACTTTGACAAATAAATCTAGTAGCGAAATTGATCACGTTTGATCTGGAGTACAAAAAGTGTTCTTTTTTTGCAAATAAAATCATTCTGATATGTTTCTATCTTAAAATCGAGTGAAACGTTTTTTTATATATGGATGAGATCTCACTGTCATTGCAAGATTAACCATGCTTTGAGAATCCTTAATGAATTCTTCGTGTGATCTTATTACTTCTTTTTCTTTAAATCTCTTCATAAGTATTCTATTTATCTTGTTTTCTTCATTATTATTTCGACAAGTATTCAGATTATCAATGAATTGTTTTCAAATATTTCAAAAGTCCGCCATCAAATAAAGCCGTGAATAATGTTCGACTGGTTCAAACGATTTGCATGAGCGTTTTATTATTTTATAGAATGTTCTCCAAAGTTTTATTCCGCGTAATTTAATCTGTAATCATTGCTCAAAATGATTACCATCAGTTGAAATAGATGACTGCACTTTTTTTAAAACATCAGAAAAAAACCCCATTAAACGAAGTTTCTTTTGAAATCATTTTATGATCTATTTCATTCTTAAATGTATATTAATACTTATATCAATTCAACTTTATATGGGTATGGATATTCCCTTTTCTCTCTTCTATACCCATATCCACACTCTGCAATCCATCTTCACCGTTATCCCAGAATTATTTTTGAAAACCTAGAGAGTTATAGAAAAGTAGCTCTTTTGAGAATGATCTGTTTTCTTATTCTTTGGTTTGTAAATTTTACATTGTCACTAAATAGAAATTCATTTACAAGATTCTAATTGAAATACATGAGAAAATTCAATTTGTAGGTAAAATGAAATTAATGTTAGTAGGCGAACATGAAAACATGATACTGCAGTGACGTTTTATGTTCGATGACAAGAAAGTATTCGTTAGGAATTAGACAAATTATTAGGTTCTATAATATGTAGGGTACCATAAAAATCCACTTTGAAAAAGCAATGTGAATATCTCTCAAAAAATTCAAACGATTTAAATTTTTTTTTTGTAAAGTTGTTTATTCAACAACTTAATCATATTAACTTTTATTCAGATTTTATTTTTGTAGTTTCTCATTTACTATTTGTTTCTTCTCTACAAAATCCAAACATAAATGTTAAAAATCTTTTCATTATCAATAACATAGTGAATACAAAAATTATTTATACTTTGAGATAATATCAATTGACAAATATGAAGTCATTTGTACTTACTAAATCGAATGAATATAGGTGAAAGTATTCTCGTATATTATCAACATGATGAATATTATTTCTGGAAAGAAGCGAACAAACGAATCGATTCATTGAGATAAAACAAATCTATTAGAACCATTGTTTTACGAAACCTTCTATTTTATCTTCAAGATACTTTTTTTATTCCAATCATATATATTGTTGTCATGAATCAATATAGTATTACTCTCAATCTTCGATGATAATATTAATAGTAAAGAGGAAAAGAAGTGGTCAGTATGAAAAGAAAAATGAATTGAGATTATGATCGATAGTCTTATCGTTATTGATATATGAACAGTGTCCACCATATAAGTGTCTATGACGACGATGTTCTTTATTCTTCATTTAGCAAAAATATGTGAGATTTTCTTTTTTGTTAAATTAGCAATGTCTATTTCTGATCTCGTCTTCGATCAAAATGCAAATCAAATGCTATTACAGTTAGATCTTTGAGAAAAGTACGATGAACTTTGCAAGACCTGAAAGAAATCGAAAGTTTTATTCTCTCAAAAAAAATTAAATTTGAATTTCAGGAAAATATTAAAGATTAATTGAATTTTTTAAAATGATCGCGTAGTTCGAACTGAAACATGACAAAATTAAAGAGAAATAAATACATTAAGTTTTTCGGTATAAAAAGATCTTCTTTGCAAATTTCTCTCATGAATAATAAGACAAAGATTGAAATAGTAAGTGCTTGCACTCGTTCACGTAAGCTGAAAAAGTAGGTACCATGGCTGTTGAATATGTGATTAACGTATGTCCTGCAGCCCGTCGAATGAGAAATGGAAAATTTGACACGGTTGATTTACTTATTCAATGATTGTATAGCAATGATTAATAGAATGATTTTCTCAACGAATGAATAGTGGAATCCTGAAATTCAGGAATCTCTTATGTTTCTAGAGGTTAATCGGATTTCAAAGAATTTCTTTAAACTCAATAGGGTTCTGTTCGATAGTCACAACAGCTATCGATGCTAATATACCTTTTTTCTTTTTGTTTGTTGGTGAATTGAAGACTCAGGCCGACAGTTACATCCACATATGATCTATTAGAATGAGGAGATCGATCGAAAATTTTCCCCCTATAGTTCAACATTCCTTTTAGATAGCGTTTCAAAAAATGAATGTAAGTACGTGGATACTTGGTTTGGAAAAGGAAAATGACTCTTGTATATTGTTTGAGACAGAAGTAAATATACTCCGAAAAGGAAATAAAGCGATAACTTTTAGTCTGATAATTTGGTCAAAGGTAGTCACAATTGTTAGAATTTTTTGTCTCAAGGTCTATCAAAAAATTAAAAAAATGACTTTGTTAAAGTCTAAAATGTCAATTTTTTTTTGATTCACATGAAAATTTTTTATGCTCATCTCAGTTTGAAAAAATTTTTAGAAAATTAATATGGATCGCATTTAGCAGAATGTTTTCTCAAAAGGGAAATCCGAATGATCATCAATCAGTATATAATAATACTGATTGTAAATAAAAAAATGGTGTTAGTAGTCGGACATAACAAACAAGTATTTAAGAGAGATTGAGATTTTATATGCCAAATGATGTTCCCTTCTGTTGCGGACCTTTTCCAAA